GTAAGGCGGCGTGCCCTGTTCGAGGCTGGGGTTTCCTGCTGCAGAGAACTTAATTAGTTACAGGGAAGCGGCACACACTCGAGGCGCTCCGGCAGGTTCTTCACCTGAGAGCTTTTATCTGATGTTTATAAGATGTCGGCTGGGAATGCAGCCGAGTGTACGGTATTTGTTAAATCAAGCCTTTTGGACAGATTTTGTGTCTGCTTCTGATGTTGACTTGCTTATTCACAGAAAAAACATCAAGATTGAGACGTGAGTGCTTAAAAACGGTCAGTGATCCTATTGGCATTGCAAACAGAACGGCTGAAAAAGGTGAAACAAACAACGATCTTATAGGTGCAAGAAGTTGACTTGCAGTATTTATTTTATCATGTCCGATTGCATCTTTTGTAACAAATCCAGGTTTGGAACAAATTGAATGATGCTACATTTGGAGAATAAACTGAAAATGCTTCAACGGTCTTCATTCTGTTGCTTTTTCAGAAATATTTCCTCAAACCTTCTAATTTTTATATAAACGTAATGCTATGCTTGACTTTAAAACCTTTTAGGGTTTCCTGGCAAGAAACACCAGGGGGGTTTCTACGAGTGGTCTAGCGTGGGCCAGTGCCACCTTGACAGCAAGTTTGGACCCCCCTGTGGGGCCCCTGCTCAGGGCGGAGCCTAAGCATGAATAAGTACTGAATTCTTATGATAATGTGGAATCAAAGCATGTGAATGAATTTATATAAGCCTGAAAAGAGACGCTGAGACAAATACATCCATGTTGTTGCTAACAAATGTAACGAAAACATTTTTAAACAATACTCTAATTCTGACACCTATTGAAGAGCTGTTGTATCTGAAGCACCTGTATTGTTGTTATTACAATACTAGAAATACTTATACTGTTTATGTTTATTTTTATGTATTTAGCAGACACTTTTGTCCAAAGCAACTTACAAGTGATAATCGGCATGTTGCCCTTGAGGCTAACAACAATAACAACAACTTGACATCAATCATGGAGAGGAGGGAACAAGGAGTGGACAGTAGAGAGGGGGGATGGGTGTAGGGAGGGTGCTAGTTTAGAAGATGCTCTCTGAAGAGCAGGGTCTTCAGGAGTTTCTTGAAAATTGAAAAGGAAGCTCATGTTCTGGTAGTGCTTGGTAGGTCATTCCACATTTGTGGAACGATGCATGAGAAGAGTCTGGATTGTCCTGAGCGTGGTGTAGGCACTTCTAGCCGACGATCCTGTGATGACCGGAGCGGCCAGGCCAAGACGTAAGCCTTTGCAAGAGAATTCAGGTAGATGGGAGCCGTACCATCTCGGACTTTGTATGCTAGTGTTACCAATTTGAATTTGATGCGTGCTGCTAGCGGTAGCCAGTGGAGCTCAATGAACAGAGGGGTGATGTGCTCTTTTTGGCTGATTGAAGACCAGACGTGCCGCTGCATTCTGGACCATTTGAAGAGGTCTCACAGTACAGGCTGAAAGACCAGTTAGAAGGGCATTGCAGTAATCGAGGCGGGAGATGACAGTAGATTGCACCAGGAGCTGGGTGGCATGTTGTGTTAGGTATGGTCTGATCTTTCGTATGTTATACAGCGCAAAGCGGCATGAACGAGCAACAGAGGCAGCATGATCTTTAAAGGTCAGGTGTTCATCAATCCCAACACCCAGATTTCGAACTGCCTTCCAGAGACAGGAAGTCATTTTGGATTGAGATATTGTGCTGTATGGATGGTTTTGCTGGGATGACAAGTAATTCAGTTTTAGAGAGGTTGAGTTGGAGATGGTGGGATTTCATCCATTTTGATATGTCAGAGACATTTTGATATTTGTGCAGAAACAGTGTGGTCGTCCGGTGGAAATGACAGATAGAGCTGGGTGTCGTCTGCATAGCAGTGGTAGGAGAAGCCATGTGATCGAATGATCTCACCCAGTGGCAAAGAGCAGAGGTCCTAGTACAGAGCCCTGGGGGACTCCTGTGGCAAAATGGTGCACGGTAGAGGATTGTCCAAGCCAAGATACACTGAATGATCGTCCTGTGAGGTACGATTCAAACCAGGCGTGTGCTTTCTCTGTGATGCCCATGCTAGAGAGTGTAAACAAAAGGAAGCCATGGTTGACTGTGTCAAACGCAGCCGATAAGTGGAGCAGGATAAGCACTGATTTTGTTTCACCTCAGTCTCATGGATTAATGCTCGCCAGTCCTAAACCTGCTTTTTACACAATAAAACTCAGATTATTTCACAGAAATTAGTTAAATGTGGGTTTAATACAAGAGATTTTTCATTTCAGTGTGCAAGAACAACGTAAATGTTGTCTGCTGTTTTTTCTTTATTTAACTTCCTTTTAAATCACTTTTCTTATATTTACTGAAAATTGTTGTTTTGTTTTCTAATTGGGCTGAATGGGACTTTTATTTTTATTTATATCTAAATCTGTGTTTAACTTAATTTTCATATGATTAAATGAATGACATCCTCTCTTTTTGTTTGTTTTTGAGCATATTTTATTGAGATGACTTTTGTTCTGAAATTAGTTTTATTTTAAAACTAAATGAAACAAACTAAACAAACTGAATTGAATGCTGATGTGTTTTAATATCTCAGTTTTATTTCTATTTTCAAATCTATATTAACGTTTCTGTCAAAAAGAATATTTAACCTGGAGGTGTGTTTGTATTCAGAAAATTTAACAAGTACATTATTTGATTTGGCCTGTTTAAACAACAGGATGTGAATGTGTTCAGTTTGCAATAAAACACTTTACACTTAATTTGCATGCATCATTCCTGCATATGACATCTAAAATAGGAGATTTAAGAAAATACACATTTAATGTTGAACTTAAGTGAAGCAAAGACGATTAGAAGGATGTACTGAACTGTTTCACCCCACATGAAGCTAGAAAATGTCCTCATTTCAAATCTTTTGAAGTAGAAAACCACATAATTGAGATTATTGCCAAGACCGGCTCAAATATCTGTAAAAGTAATTAAGTGCAGAGTAAAAAGCAGATGCTTCTGCAGGGTTTGAGAGGTATTGCATTCAGACTCTAGAGGATTTAAAGAATTACGAACACAATTAATATGAAATGGTTTAGAAGCTTAATTGAGGCTGAGTGTGTACATTGTGTTTATTCCACAAATGTTCTGCTTTTGAAACAAGTATTTAAAAAGTGAAGTGTGTAGTGACAATATGTGGACCTTGGAGTAACAGTGGGGTAGCATTTAGCTTCATAAGATAATGAAACACCTGGATTTTACCACATTTTAATACATCTTCTCTGATTTCATTACTTTTTTGTTCATCTACTAAAAATAACTTAGGAATCTTTTTGGTATTATTCTGGAAAATGAGACTTTTATAGTTTTGGCCTACTGGTTGTGCAGCACCAGGCTAAAGACCAAAGGTGACAGATCATTTGCTGCTGTGGTCCCCAGACTCTGGAACTCTCTCCCCCTGAGCCTGAGATCAGTGGACTCAGCGGTCTCCTTTAAAAAGCAGCTGAATACTCACCTGTTCAAGCTGGTTTTGTATGACCTTCATCATCCTCTCTTTAGTCTGCTCTCCCCACCTATTCCACCTTCCTCAGGATCCACTGATTTCCCTCTTTCCTATTCACTCTCTCTCTCTTTCTTTAAATTTTTAATCACAATTGTCTATTTTTTGCTCATTTTAAAATATATTTTTAACCATTTTCTAAATTATTTTTTATATTTTTAAATTTTTTGTTTTTGTGAAGCGCCTCGTGATTTTTATCTTGAGAGGCGCTATAGAAATTATATTTTCTTCTTCTCATGCACCACTCTCACCCTCTCACACACTTTTCTTCTTGGGTTTCTTCAGCCATAGCTCTGATTCTGTTATTCCCTCATTTTTGCCTAAAATAAATAATTTGTCTCTTTTTTTAAAAGCCTTAACAAAATCCTTTGATCTGGACCAGCATGGCAGCTACCTTTTCTTTCAATTGTTCATCAGACATAAAAAAAGTATCTCTTTGTTCTCATTTTAGGTTCAAACAATCTTTCTTATAATGTAAAATCACTCGTTATAGAAAAGTTTATGGAACAAAACAAATCTGCTTTTGCTTTACCTTTAGACACAGCCAAAGCCATAAACATGTCTTAATGCATCAGGTCTCTGGTGTTGTGCAGAAAAAAGTATTTTCTGTCAGGTGGGAGTCTGCTGTGCTGCAGCAGATTTCTGTTTCGGATTAGTTTCATGGATTCTTTCACATGTTGGTTACCTGGTTGGTTTCAGGCTCTGTAAGTCACCTTTGGTTCAAAACGGTTCTAAATTCAGGTTTCCACGATCATTTCTTAGATGAAGAAATAATACAATTACATGATGAGAATATTAAACAGAAGTTGATGGTTTTATCAGCCATCAGATGGTCCGGTCAGATCAAACACGAAGTGTTAATAAAAACATTTAAGTTTTTCCTGCATTGTGCTTTCTATCCACAAAACAGAAAACAACCAATATCTTAACATGACTTTGAACTTAGGCGAGAAAATGTGCATCTGTTAGATACTGAGAGAATAAAATAAGAGAAATAAAAACCTGCAGAAATCTTTACTCTAAACATCCATCACCCCATGTCTTCCAGAATAAAGCCACAGAGGGACAGCGGTAGCTCAGGAGCTCATGTGGGTTGTCCAGTAATCGGGGGGTTGTAGGTTCGATGCCGGCTCCTGTCAGAGATCGCTGTAGAGTCCTTGGGCAAGACACTTAACCCAAGATGACGCTAAACAAATACAGGCCATTCACCATTAAGAAAGTGAATTGTATAAAATAAAAAGGATAAATGCAAAAATCACATTTTATGTAAATTATCAGTAAATGATCAAATTGTATAAGGAAGAAAGTTTTCCATTCATGGTTTTATTTTCTAAATAAAAAATGGTCGTAATAGTTTACCTAGATGTTTATTAGGAATCATGACTACACTCTTTCTCTTCATATCTGTCTAATTTTGTCATTTTCTTATTTCTTTTGCTCTAAAACAGACCAGAGGTTTCCATCTTGGTCCCCACCCCGGACGTTAAATGAAGGCAGACGCCTCCCTCCTGCCAGGAACATGAAGGGCTTATCGGGCAGCCGTTCCCAGCACCAGATTCCTTTACCTCATGGTTTGGACTACGACCCCCACGTCCATGATGTCCACGGCCACCACGGCTCCGAGTCCCGGCACCCGTCATACCTGCTCAGCCCCACAGAGAGCTGCCCTGTGGACTTGCACCACCGCTACTCGCCTCGCAGCTCCATCCACTCTGACTGCATGATGATGTCCCCCGTCATGATGCCTCCACCCGCTGCATCGGACCACATCTCCAGCAGCACCTTCCCCAGGATGCACTACAGCTCTCAGTATTATGACTCAGCCACAAGGGAAGACTGTGCTGCCATCACAGCGTCTGCCACCTCCCCAGCTGTTGCTGCTGCTGCTGCTGCCGCAGCAGCAGCTTCCTCCCACCACGCCGGCACCAAGAGCAACCGCCTCCCAGCTAATCTGTTAGACCAGTTTGAGAAACAACTGCCACTTCACCGCGATGGCTTCCACACGCTACAGTACCAGCGCACCTCCACCACCACCGAGCAGCGCAGCGAGAGTCCAGGCCGCATCAGACACCTCGTCCATTCTGTCCAGAAGCTCTTCACCAAGTCCCACTCCTTGGAGGGGTCGTCCAAGATGAACGGCACAAAAGGTGATATTGGAGGAGGTGGAGGAGGAGCGGGGGGTTACTACCATCATGGCCACCACTCCAGCAAGCACGGCAGCAAGAGGAGCAAGAGTAAAGAACGGAAGCACCGCTCTGGCGGTTGGTGGAGCTCAGATGACAACTTGGATAGCGACAGCACCTACCGCACGCCCAGCGTGATGTCACGACACCACGGGGAACACGTCACTCACTGCTACCCAGACTCCATGCACAGCCACATGTCACTCAAGGCCTCTAAGAGCAACAATGATGTCAAATGTTCTGCTTGTGAGAGCATGGCCATGGCGCCGGAGGGCAGGTTCATGAAGAGGAGCTCGTGGTCAACGCTGACAGTCAGCCAGGCCAAGGAGGCTTACAGGAAGTCATCGCTGAACTTAGACAAACCCATGATGCACACCGACCTCAAAACATCACGAGCATGCCACTACCTTCAGGTGAGTGGGAGATTTTAATGCTAACACTAGAATATAAATATGAAAGGCTTTAACAGAAGTGAGTCATAGCATTTGCAGCTGTAAAGGGTGGATATGCAGAATCTATCGATCCGGAGTTTTCCCCCTTTCTGGAATTACGTAGGATTCTTTTAGGAATCCTTAAAAGTTATGGTCTCACCCTGTAATGTGATATAACTTTTATTTATTTTGCTAAGCCCGCCCCCATTCCACAGTACCATATTACACTGATGAGCAGTTTAAAAGTGTAAAACTGATTATGCACTCACAATAATTCACTTTTATATTCGGAGCTTAAATCAAAACTATGGAAAGATAAAAGACTTTTTGGGTCAGTTTAAGAAATCTTGGGTTGTGGCCGTGTCTGAGACACGGTTAGAGGAAGAGAAGGATTTTGATGTAGAAATGGAGGGATATTTATTCATTTAACCTTTATTTATCCAGATGACTTGATAGAAATTCTCATTCTCATTTACAACGACAATCTGGCCGAGAGGCAGCAGCAGCAGACACATACAGTAGTTAGACACAGATGGGCTTTGGGAATAACCATAGAGGGTAGGTTACTGGAACGTAAACCACACTGGTTGTTGGAAGCGATGAGTAATGAGCGAAGACACAACGGGGTTCTACTGTTATGTATATGAACTGATACCGATGAACCATCCCGCAGGAATGGAGTGATGGCCAGTTAACGAGTGACTACAGATCACATGATGAGTGGTGAAAGGGCCGCCAGTGACCAAATGGGTTGCCGAGTGATAAATGGGGGAGATAGGAGTTAAGTGCTCGCTTTGTAATCAGAAGGTTGCAGGTTCGAGCCCCGCTCAGTCTGTTGAAGTTGTGTCTTTGGACATGAAGAAGTCTTTTGGGAGCAGTCCTATAAATGATGCCACCGTAACCGAAGACTGGAAGGATTGTCATTTAGACCATATGGAGGCAGCTGATGTAGGCGGAGCTTAAACACATCAGATGGATGACAGGTGTTTCATTTAAACAGCAAACCTGTTGCTCCAGTGTGTCTGCTGTCAACCTGTGCATTAGTGTAACAGGTGAAAGTAGAAAGATGAGAATATGATGCAAAGGTTAATTTGTTTCAGTAATTCAAATTCAAAGGTGAAACTCATATAAGAGATAGACTCATTACATGTAAAGGGTTCCTGAGCCTTTAGATGGTCTCTCAGTCTGACATAAATGGACTTTTGCACCATATTCTCATTTTTCCAGGATTCACCTGCACTGGTGAATTCCTGAAGAATCCTGCGCTCAGCTTCCTCAGGTGATTTAGTTTCCCGGAGAGCGGGATTCCCTCTTCTTTAAAGACCTCCAGGAGCTTTTGTGTTATTGTCATGGTGGAGAAATGATGGTGAAGCGCTGAGCCAAACTGTGATGCAGGAAGAGGAAAATAAACATTATTCGGTTGTAGCTGCTGCAGAGAGCTGTTCACTTGCACAATAATAGAAATAATTGTGGTAAAAGTGAGCAGAGCAGAGCTTCTCCTCCCGCTGCACACAGTGCTGAGGCAGACCTGCCTACTCTGGGAATCACATTTTCTCTTTGTTGCAAATGTACTGTTTCGTGTTTGTAGGAGGAGCTTTTCATGTTTGACTAACAGAAAAGTGGATAGGCTGTCCAGGCACCTTTAGTCGTTTTTTAGGGTAAATGTTGGTCTGGAGATTAGGGCTGCAACAAACGATTATTTGGATAATCGATTAATCGGATGGGGTCTCGACACGATTAATAGATTAATCGGATTACATAGGGACATTTTTAAAAACTGCCAGGGAAACGTTATTTTTCTCCTTCCATCACTTTATTAAACACAACATTATTAGAAAACTGTTCAATAGCAGAAAAACAACATGCCATCACCTAAATTGTCTTATAAGGTGTATAGACAGAGACCCTAAGCTACATCTATCTGTGACCTAAAATGCTTGGTCCAAGTTAAACAGCTTAAAGAGCAAGTCAACCCCTACCAGAGTCTAACTTCACTCCCGCTTCATGTTTGAAAAATGCAACACATGCTGTTGCCTGGCAGACCGAGAGGGCGGAGCCGCTAACAAATACACACACACTCAGGCTCACGACAGCATTGTGACATCATAATGTACCAGTTTACATCATAGCATACTTCTTAGCCAATAGCGGTGGCAGATTTAAATTAAAATACAGTGCAGAGTTTTTACCTGACAACGGCACAACACTGCCAGTTTTAGGCAGAATATTTAAATTTTAACTAAGATGCACTGAAGTGCCAAATTATTGACGACACGTGTCTGCAGCACGATTAGACACTCGTTTATTTAGTTTATCAGCAAAAAAAAGTTTATTTGGGGGTGACTTGCTCTTTAAGGGCAATTCTCATCTGTTTTGTTTGATCTCATCTGTAGACATTTATTATAATTGGGGATGTCAAACAACTAATTTTTAAATGTAATTAACATAGGCTGTGAATTAATCAAAATTAATCACTATTTCCAAAACTGACTGAAAAATACCAAATAAAACAAAAGTAAATGAATGCCATCCTCTTTGCAATGATGCCCTGGGCAACTGCCATAAAGTCACATCAAGAAATGCTGCTGATCATTCCAATGAACCCAAATAGACTCACATTAGGCCACATGAAAGCAACTGAACCCAAACATATATGAACCAGTATATAACTGCACTCTCACACAACACGCCTGCAGCAACAGTTAGGACTCCTCCCTCCCTTTTAAAAGCGTTTTTGCTTCTGAGGACATTGTGGTTGTAAAACCACATGCTAGTAGTCTGGCCCCGGTGTGATCAACCAGTTTCTGCGGGAATGTGACGGCGGAACCGGTTCGCAGCGGCGCGAGTCCCCCCCCCCCCCCCCCCCCGACTATCAAATAGCGTCGCGCTTACAATTTTATAGACTTTTTTTACGAGCTTAGGGCATGTCTAGCCTGTGTAATAATCTGGGGCTTGGGTGAATCACTTTTGAAAAGTTTTTAACTTACCCGGACACAGAGCTCTCTCCTTCCTCGCTGATGATTCTGACATGCTTGCGTTTAAGACGCTGCATCATCACCGTAGTATCCCCGTGCCATGCTAAGTCTGACCTACAAACGTTGCATGTCTTCGCCTGATTTAACTGAAAATGCTCCCAAACTTTAGAAGTTTTAACTTTTTTGGGGTCTCGCTGCTTCTGCCATGTTCCTCTTACAAACAACTGCCGGCTCTCCACCGGTCTGCGCGCAACGGCGGGCGGGAGGGGAGGGGGCTTTTGGAAGAGTTGCGCAACACAACGAATCGATGACGCAATTCGTTGCCAACGCTTTTAGTAATCGATTTTCATCGAATTCATCGATTCGTTGTTGCAGCCCTACTGGAGATATATCTAATTTCATCCTAGAATAAAATGAATGAACTGTAAGAGAGAGCTACAGAGACTGGTCATTATTAAAGCATTAATTATACATGCAGCCCTTATATCAATATTTAATATTCTACAGTTCTTTTTCACTTGCTCTAGAGCCCAATTGAGTTAAATTAAAACTGAGGTAACTTCCTGCTCTGTAACTGACAAATTGCCAAGTGTGTGGAATTTCTTGTCTTGAATGCATCCATGTTCGTGCTCGGAAGGGACGAACGTGCAATTAAAGGCCCAAAACACTTAAAAAAGTGAAGCATGGAGTTCCACACAGACACACAAATGGCCGTTCTGTCTGTGCTATAAGGAGTCTTTTCAGAGCAGAGCACGCTGTAAAGTGAAGAGGCTGCGGGTGGCACAGTCTGCCCTGAGTGTGTCTGCAAAGAGAGCTTCACTCAGTAGAGCAAAGAGGAGGAAGTAGCAGTGTGGTAGCAGCCAGCCAGCGCAGCGCATCAGATCTGGTCTTTTGGATGTCACAGGTTCTTTAGGTGAATAATCACAGCTGATGAGGATCAATCTACCCCAGAGAGAGAGATTTTAACATAATCTCCCTTCAGCAAGCGTCAGATCTTCTAAACCCGTAAGTCCCTAAAAGACCCCCAATGTGACTACCTCACCCTCTCACCCTCGACTACTGTTGGTGGTCAGAGAGACCGGTGGCACCAGTGCTCAGCAGCTTCGCCTTTGTCAGTGTGCCCTGAGGTAGCTGTGGCTACATCGCAGTTCACCACCACCAGCGTGTGAATGTGTGTGAATGGATGAATGATACACTGTAGTGCAGGGCTATTCAACTCCGGGCCTCGAGGGCTGGTGTCCAGTACGTTTTAGTGGTTTCTCTGCTCCAACACACTAGATTCAGTGGTTTAATCACCTGTGCAGCAGCTCATCAGGCTCACCTGCTGATTGAACTCAGATGTGTTGAAGCAGGGTTTAAACCAAATCGTGGAAACCGGCCCTCAAGGATCAGGACTGAATAGCCCTGCTGTAGTGTAAAGTGCTTTGGAGTCCTCTGACTCTGAGAGGCGCTATTCAAGTGCGGGCCATTTATCGTTTTTCTTCTACATCACATGTGTTTTTTTTTTGCGCAAATACAGCAAAGAATTAACTTTGAGCTCCTTTTTTACATTTTAAATAAAACTATCTCACTTACCTGCATTTTTTGATGCACTTTCATGAGGTTTAATGATCAGTTAACTGATTCAAGCATCCATAAATTCACCAGTGACTCACACATGCTGGTGTCTAAATAGGAACATAAAACCTTGTGGTTGTTTTTACTCTGACTAGCTTCATTGCAATGAGGCTGTGGAGCATCTAGCAGCCCAGAGGCCCAGCTGAACAGGTAGATAACATCAAATGAGCTTAGGCGGCAGTGCTAATGAGCTGCTGCAGTATCCATAAGTGATGACTGTCTTGTTAACCACAGCCCCAGATGAGCAATGGTCGACCATTAAGATGAAAATTATTCGTATTTTCATTACTGCTCAGGTGGGAGCAAGAAAATGTACACTAAATAGATCACCTTTGGAGTTTGAGTGAAGCTTTCTCCTCATGCTGCAGGTGACACATGCAGCCTCCTCAT